CACCCCGGCATCGCGGCGGCAACTGTTGGCGGCAGGGCTGGGGAGAGGCGGCAGGGCAGCCAGAGGCTCGCGTGGCTTTTTTTTGGGGGGGGACAAAGGAAGGCTCTGTCTGCACGCAACAGCCTGGACAAATGCTGGGCATAGGAGCTGCCATCCAAGGAAAATCCAGACGCAGCAGTGACTCTGCCCTGACCTTACCCCGGCCCAGATGGTGGGTCGGTGCCCCTTCTGCAAAGCAGCATCCATCACAGGGCTCCTGCGGATGGGGAGGGAGCACCCAGCTGTCAGCACAGCCCTCCCTCCCCAAAGGAGATGTCAGGGGGTGATGGTGAGGGCAGGGGGGAACAGCAGGAGGGCAGAGAAGCCATCAAGCCTAACGCAGGTGCTTGCCAAGGGGATGGGGGGAAACACCGATGGTTGGAAAGCAGGGGGGATCGTGACCATTGCTGAGGGATGTGACCCTCTCCTTGCACCATCTGCCTGGGGGAGCCACCTCGGCCACACTCTGCTGTACCCCTGCCAAGCATCCCATCCCCTGGCTGGGGACATATCGGTACCACTCGGGGACAGGTTGGCAGCCCCCCATGTGCGGGGAGACTTCCTCCCCCTCCAGCCCCGATGGCAGCCAGGCAACAGGATCAGGTAGCTGCTGAGGCAGCACTTTGCCAGCCCAGCCAGGCAGCCCCTGCAGCAGAAGGGCTGGGCTGCCCACCCCAAGGTCACAGCAGGAGACAGCCCCAACCCACCCAAGCCCTCACAGGGACCCCACAAGGCAGGGCTCAGAACCTGCAAAGCTCTCCACACTGCCATCGAGGGCTCGGTGACCCCAGGGGCTTTGAGGGCTCCAGGTAGGACAAACCTTCAAAACCTAGTCAGATCGAGACCCATCTCACCATTCCCCTTGGAGCTCCTGCTCCACATCCTCATGCCCTGCAGGGCCAGAGAGCCAGACCAGCTCTTTGGGGCACTGAGTTTAGAAACAGCAAAAAGTTGAGGAAAGCCCTGCAGAAGTGGAGGATGCTCAGACCACGCCTGGGCTCCAAGTCCTGGCCTCAGCCACGACTTTGTAGCGTGCAGCCCTCACCCTGACAAGGCACCCACCTTAGACCACCACTTGTGAGTGGCTCTGAAGTTGCAAAGACCAGAGAAAAACTGAAAAAAGGAAGAAGAGGAAAAAACAAATCTGGTCTGTAAAAAACAACTACCAGCTCCTCTAGATAAATAAGGAACTCGAGGTGTAACACTGTCCCCGTGGCTTTGTGAACCTTCCTCCCACACACTCCTTCGTTCCCACCCCCATTTAAAACCTCCCATCTGGAGCCCAGCGGCAGGAGAAGCCGCCAGCAATGTGACACCCGTCCCCTCGGATCCCTCATCGATCCGGAAGGGAGGACGAGCTGCCTCGTCAGCTCCCCACAGCCCTGCGCAGCCCTGGCGTCGCCGTGCCCCCTCCCCAGGGAATGCAGAAAGCCAAGCAGAGGGTGTGGGGCTGGAGAGGACCACCAGCATCCTGACCCTCACCCCAACACATGCTGCCCATATGCCCCCTGCCCCAAAATACACTGCTAACAGGCAGGGTCACAGGCAGGTCAAGGGTCTGGGGGAACATAGGCAGGGTGAGTGGGACATATGGGGACTGTCACCCACAACAGCACTCTGCTCCTGATTCCTGACAGGGAAGCCATGCTGCCTACTCCAGGGCCCCCTGACCAGCACAGATCAGGAGAAGCAGCAAAAAGGCAGGATGCTGTGCCCAGGATGGGGTTCTGTGCCCAGGATGGGGTACTAGAGCACCTCACAAGCCACAGAGGAACAGACTGGACCTCCCACCCAAGCCCTGGTCCTCCAGCCCCTTGCAGGGACCATACCAGGACCTTCACAGTGCCTTTCCCTGGCTGAGGATGCAGTTAATGCAAGCTGTGTTTATACAGAGCAAGTACAGCTGTAATTATAGGCACGATGTTATGATAACAGGAAATCCGTGCCCTGTGGAGATGCAGGCAGAGAAAGGCACACACGGAGCTATTTGCTAATTGCCACCAACAAGCAGCCTTTTGTGTCGTGGCAGGGTACGGGAAGAGACGTCTCCCCCCCACAGGGCTGGAGCCATCAGCACCC